AGTAGATTGCCCAACCTTCCTTCCGAGGAGTGGCTGGTGGGTTTGAACCACCAGCCTTCTGGTTAGCAGTCAACTGCCTTAGGCACTATGCTACCAGAGCTCCTCTTAACCATGGCAGTCATGGTCTATTTAGTCTCCCCAAACCCTGAAATAGTGAACACTGAACAAGAAAGGATTAGGTCCTTGTGAGGCCCTGGTCACATTTTTATCAACTTGTTTTATGTATGTTTCTATTTAAAGACACCTTAATATAACTGATCTATTAACATTGAATGAAGCTTATCTAACATGCATTTTTTCTGTGAGGCACATTACTGCCTTCCTGCACTAGGTAGCACTTCAACATTATGTGTGGGATTCATTTAAACAGTGAAACTACCAACAAAAAGCACAAAAATGAGGAAAAAATGTGACACTTTAAAATAGACCACTTGTTTATATGAGAGGTGAAACAGGAAGGCAGAGCATCACCTTGTTTGACTTCTAATTGGGTGTCAGCGACCCATTTATTCTCGCTCTGTGCATATCTGAGAATGACTGTGAAAGCGATGTGAACACCGATTTTGGAGTTACAAATAAATTTATTGAATAGGCAAATATGGAATCTATGAATAGTGAAGATTGACTATAGATATAAAAACATACACAGAGTTGCAATATTAAGAGTTTTTTCTTAGAGTGGTCAAAAAGCATGGAAGGTAGGGCAAAGCAAGACACTCTTAAGCATCGTGTAGCAGACTGAATAATAATCCCCAAAGTTATCCAGGTCCCAATCCCTGGAACCTGTGAATTACTTTACGGAGAAAAGGGGACTCTGCAGCTGTGATTAAGTTAAAGATGTTGAGATGGGGAGATTATCCTGGATCACCCAAGTGGTCCTAAATATAACCACAAGTGCCCTCACAGAAGAGTGGCAGAGGGCAATTTAACTACACAGAAGAAGGCAAGGTGACCATGCAAGCAAGATGCTACACTGTTGGCTTTGATGATGGAGCAAGGAAATGAAAAATGGAAAATGCCACCAGAAGCTAGAAAAGGTAAGGAAATGGATTCTCTGCTAAAGCCTCCAGCAGGAACACGGCCCTGCTCACACCTTGACTTTAGACTAAACAGAAAAACCCAGCTGCTGTCAAGTCGATTCCAACTCATGGTGAACCCACATATATCAGAGCAGAACTGTTCTCCACAGAGTTTTCAATGGCTGATTTTCTAAGCGGATCACCGGGCCTTTCTTCTGAGATGCCTGTGGGTGACTCAAACCTCCAACCTTTCAGATAGCAGCCAAGTATGTATGTTAACTATTTACACCATCCAGGAACTCCTGGCATTAGACGGGTGAAACTGAGTTTGTATTTTTGCCTCCCAGAGACTAAGTCTGTGTTATTTTAAATTTAGAGTAATTTGTTACAGCAGCCACAGGAAAGTAATACAAGCCTCAATCAAATTAACTCCCCAAGTAATACATCTCTGAGAGGTATTTTATTTGCCTCATGGTTTATCTATCGCAGTTTTTAATCAAAATTTAAGCCAATAGTGAGACCACAGTACATCTATTATCAACTGTGGACCCTTCATCTGTGATCATTCTAAGAAAATGCAGGATTTGGTCATAGTCACAGATATAATCACAGACATTCAGTGCTGGATAGACCTTTAGATATGAAGAGTAAACATCTAAAGGGAGATGTCCACCATACTCTGTTCCTTAGTCCTCTTTCTATATAATATCCTTTCCCTTTGTAGTTCTCTGGATTCAGCCACCACCTCAGTATATGTTAATCCCAGCATTTCTCCCAAGCTCCTAGCCTGCATTTCCTACCGTCGGCTCTACATCTTCACCTGAATGTTCTGGCAGCATCTCCAAAATGGAATTCAGCATCTTACCTCCCAAATGTGCTCTGCCTCACCATGCCCTTTCTCCTGTAATAGTATCATTTACCTGTCACTCACCTTGGAATGCACCCAGAAGTAATCTTTGATGTTTACCTTTTCTTTAATTCCTACATCCAATTAGCTGCCAACTCCTGTCAGTTTTACCTCACATTAACTTCTTGGTTCTATCCCCTCTTCTTATTGTTCAGATTCTTGGCCTCTCAGCCTTTTGACCTATCAAATATAGTCTCCTTTTGCTCCAACCCATTTTAAATACACTGTTTCAAAGTACTGGCTAGGAAATATCCTGTTGTTGTTTTTTTTTTTTTAAATCTCATTTGTAAATGGCAAGAAATTTGAAAAAGTGGGAGGAAGGGTAAATATTACAGCATAAAAGAGACACATCAACCAAATGCAACATTGGATCCTGGTATAAACAAACAGGAAAAAGACGTATTTGAAACAGGAAAACTGAATACAGACCATTACCTGATGATTAATGAAATCTCATTAATTGTACTGAGTATGACAATGATATTGCAGTTTTGTTAAAAGAACTTTATCTGTAGATATGTATGTAGACATATGTATACACACACACATACATATACTCTGAATTCTGCTGAACATTTGAAAGTGTCAGACATCACGACACTTTACCCCTAAGTAGTTTTGTGTGCATTGCCTAAGGATAAGGCATTTTTGCTGCACGACCACGCTAAAGAAAATTAATAATTATTCTATAATGTTATCTAATGTGAAGTCCATATTCAAATGGTCTCAGTTTTCCCCAAAGTGTCTTTTATTGACCCCCCCCCCTTTTAATACCCAGGACACAATCAAGATTCAAGCATTGCATTTGGCCATTATATCTCTTTTGTCTGGTTATATTTACAATAGTTCCCTTACCTTTTTCCTCCCATGGCATTAATTCTTTCAAGAAGCCCAGATGAATTATTTTATAGAAAGAGCCACATTCAGAATTTGTCTAATAATTTCCTCATGATTAAATTCCAGTTAAACACTGTGGGAAGGAAACTAAATAGCTGATATTGTGTAATTCTTCTTGTATCACTATAGGAGGCTCATGATGTTAGGTTGTCCATTTTCAGTGATGTTCATTTTGATTAGCTGGCTATTGTGGTAACCCCAAGATCTGCCCACTGGAATAGTACATTTTCCCCTTTATAATTGTTATATCACCTATGGGATTAATTTAATTCCTTGTGAAGATTCTGTTCCCCAACAACTTTTCATCCAATGATTTCAGCATCCATTTATGAACCCTGCCTTAATGAATTATTGCATTAGAAGTTGAAAAAAGTATTAACTGTTTTTATTATTATTAACTTTTAAAATAGCTCCAAGTCTTTATGAAAGTATTTTCTCTTACTATGATCTTTCTCATTTTCTGCTTAGTCTAAACTTGACTCATTAAAATCACATGGCGGCTTTGGAATAATGAGTTGGTGGCCATAAAGTTTAACCTTCAGGGTCTTCCAAACTGTAGTCCAAATTATTATCTGGCATCCTGTACTACAATTCAGGGGAACAAACTAGCATACTCAATGTTCCTCAAATATATCTTTTTCTGAACTCACACCCCTTGCCCCAACTGCCTGTGAGCTCTCTCTTCTATTCACGTTAAATCCCTTACATACATGGATGTACCTCTGAAATGTCTCTTCTAAGCCTTGTGCCATGATAACTCAGTAGAAAGTGATCTCATCCTTCTAGATTGACTATTTTGGGTACTTACTTATTACCTCACAGCACAATTATCTTCTCTTTATAGTGTTTGTTATTATAGGTACACAATTTTTTAAAAATCACTATGTAGGAAACATTAGTGGATAGAAAAATACCAGTTGCTGCTGAGTGGGCTACAATTTCTTGCAATCCATGTGTGTCAGAGTAGAATTGTGTTCCATAGGGTTTTCATTGACTAATCTGGTAGCATAGTGGCTAAGGCACTTGACTGCTAACCAGAAGGCTGGCGGTTCAAACCCACCAGCCACTCCTCGGAAGGAAGGTTGGGCAATCCTACTTCCGTAGTGATACTGCCTCGGAAACCCAAGGAGGGGTCGCTATGAGTCAGGGCTGACTCGACGGCACATAACAACAACAACAACAATCTTTTGAAAGTAGATCAACAAGCCTTTCTTTCAAAGTGCCTCTGAGTTGACTCAAACCTCCAACTTTTTGGTTAGTGGCCAAACTTGTTAACTATTGTACCACTCAGCAACTCCTAGTGGACTCAACACCCAGTTTAAGGAAAAAGTTGCCATTACTTTTGAAATTCACTTTCGCAGTCATACACTCCCCTCCCTCATTAGAGATAACCACTATTCTGAATCTAGTATTTCTTATTACCTTCCTTTCCTTTATTCTTTTATTATGTTTGTTTAGATTCTTAAACAAAATGACTTAGTTTCACAAGTTCTGCAATTCTATGTAAATGGAATCATTCTGTAGATATTTTCTGTAACTTGCTTTGTTACCATTATGTTGCTGAGAGACGTATCATGGTGTTGCACTTAGCTATAATTCATTTTCACTACAATGTAATATTCCAATATGTGGCTATAATGTATTTATCCATTCTATTCTTGATGGACATTACAGTTATTTCCTGTTCTTTTGTTGATTATAAACAGGGTTCTATGAACATTCTTGTAAGGACATGTGTAGGAATGGAACTGATGGTTTTGAGGGTATGTACAACATCACCTTTACTAGATAATGCCAAATTGTTTTCCATAGAGATTGTATATCACTTATCTTTTTATGGGTATCATATTTCTCCAACTGGCTTGTAATCCAGTTAAGACAGAGAAGGTCTTATATTTTTGGGCCTAGAAATAGTAGACATTCAATAAATATTTATTAATTGATTGATTCATTAATTAATATGAGGAGAAATAATTGAAGGATTTTCCTCATCTTCAGAACAGGGAATGAGCTAGAAAAAAGTTAAAGGTAAGAATATTTTTGATGTAAAAATGACAACTTTTTTGCAACTGTAGTGAAAAATGAAAAAGGTAAATACCTATTGATACTCTCTAGCCAATTTTAGACAGTGAAAGGAATATCACATATCAGAAGCAGGATACTTTTACAGAAGGGCCCTAATATGTATTTTGCTTCTTTTTCTCTGGGTCATTCTTCCACTCATTCAAGGTCTTCAGTATTTCAAATGCCTTAATTCGTTTCTTGGGCTCTTTTGCAAGTGTTTTTTGTAGAAGAATTTTCTGTAATGATAATAACAATCAATAGAAAGAAAGAAAACATTGAAATAAATGAAGTTCTGATTACTTTTAAATGCTTACTTCCTTGGTATTAAATACATCTGGGAAGATACCATTCCTTAGATCAGTAAAAATCTGAAAATAAAAAGATAGAGTAATTAGGAAAATTATCTCCTTGGGAGGAAAAATAAACTTAGAAATCACTAAAGACTGGGGATACCTTAACTCGAGGATACTTCTGGATCTCTGGGAAATGTCCTCTACGAAAGAAGCAAGCAAGACCCTCTCTCCCACCACACAACTAGTAGCCATCCCTGCCATTACTAAGTGTTAAGTGTACCCTATATGTTATCTCACTTCATCCCTTTCTGAGCGCTATCCTATAAATATTTTCATTATCCCTGTTCATAGAGAAGGCTGTTGACTCCAGGTGAGTCTCCTCTCCTAAGCTTTAGACTTAGATCTCCAGTTCCCTAATCCCTTTAAAGGAGCCCTTGTGGCACAATGGTTAAGTGCCGAGCTGCTAACCCAAGTTTGGCTGTTCAAACTCACCCAGCAGCTTTTCAGGAGAACAGACCTAGTGACCTGCTCCTATAAAGATTACAGCCAAGAAAACCTAAAGGGGCAGTTCTACTCTGTCGCATGGGGTGAGTTAGAATTGGCTTGACAGCACTTAACAAATAACACTGACTATAGTGGCTCCCCAGTATCTACACAAGAAAGTTTCTATTCTTTTCTCAATTTAGTCCCAACCTGTCTTTCCAGCTCCAGTAACCACCATCTCCTGGGATGTCATCTGATCCAACAAAATGACACTTCTTGATGTTTCCAAACACACCCTGCATAGTCCTGTCTGAATGCTTGTATCACCTTCTTCCTATATTGGATTACTAGAAGCCTATCAACACTCCAGGGCCCAACCTAAAAGCCCCCATGAAATCTAAACCCCTACACCTGGAAAGATCTCCCATCTAGCTGTTTCTGTAACACTTTACGACTTAACCTAAAACAATTATTTCTTTCTCTTACATTTTCTTCCTAGCTAGGAAATAAGTTCCTTGAGAACAAGGATTAATCATTTATACAACCCTTAGCACAGTGTCTTACACAAAGCAGGCAATCAATAAAAATTTATTGGTTGGCTTGAATAAGAAATAACCATAGTTTTATAAGATATAAACATCTTCCAGAGAAGATCAAAGATTTTAGTCTTTAACAAAATGGTTGCAAAATTTGAAAAAGAGAAAATCCGTTTTTCATTTGCTGCTATAAATGTTCAAACCCCTCCTCAGATATGGATAATAATTGTCTGCTGCAGCTCTTTGAAAATGATAGCCAAGAATATTTTTTCCTTAATATACTTTTTTTCCAATATTTTTTCCTTAATTCTTCATCTGAGATTATTTACCTTGACTGTTTCCTGAACAGTAGGACATATATAAAGAAGTTCAGCAAGAATTAGCCCCAAAGCGAAGATGTCCACTTCATTTCCATATTCTTGAGAAGACACCTGAAAAGAAAAAAATGTGATATTGACATCTGTTACTCTTCGAATATTAAAAAAGCATGAATTCTGAAGCCAGAAGTTATTTAAAATATTTTAAGACACACAACAATGTGTATTTAGTAGAAGGAGCTATAGAGTCTGATTGCCCAGATTCACATCATAGTAGCTCTGCCACCATTCAAGTTAACCATAAATGTGAGAATAATCTTGACTATAAATGAAGATAGCAATAGTGTTGACCTCAAAGTTTGCTGCACCACAACTCAAAAGCATCAACTATTCTTTGGTCTTCCTTGTTCATTATTCAGCTCTCACATGCATATAAGGTGATTGAAAATACAATAGCCTGGGTCAGGTGCACCTCAGTCCTCAAGGAGACATCTTTGCTCTTCAGCACTTGAAAGAGGTCCTTCACAGCAGATTTGCCCAATGCAATACATCATCTAATGTCCTGACTGTTCCTTCCATTGGTGTCAATTGAGAACCAAGTAATGTGAAGTCTCTGACAACTTCAATCTTTTCTCCATTTACTGTGATGCTGCTTTTTGGTTCAGTTGTGAGGATTTTTGTTTTATATTGACATGTAATCCATACTGCAGACTGTATTCTTCAATCTTCATCAGTAAGTGCCTCAAGTCATCCTCATTTTCAGCAAGCAAAGTTGTGTCATCAGCATATCGCAGATTGTTAATGATTCTTCCTCCAATCCTGATGCCACATTCTTCTTCATATAGTCCAGCTTCTCGGGTTATCTGCTCAGCACACAGATTGAGGGAGCGCTGGTGGTGTAATGCCTAAGGCATTTGACTGCTAACCAGAATGCTGGCAGTTCAAAAACCACCAGCCACTCTTTGGAATGAAGATATGATATCTACTTCTGTAGTGATACTGTCTCGGAAACCCAAGGAAGGGTCACTAATGATTCTTCCTCTAATCCTGATGCCACATTCTTCTTCATATAGTCCAGCTTCTCGGATTATCTGCTCAGCACACAGATTGAACAAATATGATGATGCACTCCCTTCTTGACTTTAAACCATGCAATGTCCCCTTGTTCTGTTCGAACAACAGCCTCCTGATCTATGTACAGGTTCCTCGTGAGTACAATCAAGTGTTCTGGAATTCCCATTCATCTCAATGTTACCCATAATTTTTTATGATCCATACAATCAAATGCTTTCGCATAGTCAATAAAACACAAGTAAACATCTTTCTGATATTCTTTGCTTTCAGCCAAGATCCACTGGACATCAGCAATGTTACCCTTGTTCTACGTCCTTTCCTGAATCCAACCCGCACCTCTGGAAGTTCTCTTGTCAATATACTGCTGCAACCATTTTTGAATTACTGTCAAATGATTTTACTTGCATGCAATATTAATGATACTGTTTGATAATTTCCACATTCTGTGGGATCACTTTGCTTTGGAATGGGTACAAATATGGATCTCTTCCAGTCAGTTGGCCATGTAGTTGTCTTCCAAATCTGGCATAGCCGAATGAGTGCCTCCAGAGGCATCCGTTTGTTGAAACATCTCAATGGGTATTCCATCAATTCCTGGAGGCTTGTTCTTCGCCAATTCCTTCAGCACAGCTTCAACTCCATCCTTCAATACTATTGGTTCTAATCATATGCCACCTCCTGAAATGAAAGAACATCAACCAGGTCTTTTTGGTACAGTGACTCTGGGTATTCCTTCCATCTTCTTTTGATGTTTCCTGCATCACTGAATATTTTGCCCATAGAATCTTTCAATTTGGTAACTTGAAGCTTAAATTTTTCCCTCATTCTTTCAGCTTGAGAAATGCTGAGTGTGTTCTTCCCTTTTGGTTTTCTAACTTCAGGTCTTTGCACATTTCATTATAATAATTGAGTTTGTCTTCTCAAACTGCTCTTTGAAATCTTCTATTCAAGCTCTTTTATCTTGTCATTTCTTCCGTTTGTTTTAGCTACTCTCTGTTCAAAAGCAAGTTTCAGAGTCTCTTCTGACATCCATTTTGGTATTTTTTTCCTTTCCTGTCTTTTTAATGACCTTTTGCTTTCTTCATGGATGATGTTCTGGATGTCATCCTACAATTCCTCTGGTTTTTTGGTCATTTGTGTTCCATGCATTAAATCTATTCTTTAGATGGTCTCTAAATTCAGGAAGGATATGATCAAAGTCATATTTTGGCTCTTGTGGACTTGTTTTAATTGTCTTCAGCTTCAACTTGAACTTGCATATGAGCAACTGATGGTCTCTTCCACAGTCAGCTCCTGGCCTTGTTTTGGCTGAAGATATTGAGCTTCTCCATCATCTCTTGCCACAGATGTAGTTGATTTGATTCCTGTGCACTACATCTGATGAAGTCCATGTGTCTAACCGCCATTTGTGTTGTTGAAAAAAGGTATTTGCAATGAATAAGTTGTTGGTCTTGCTAAACTGTATAATGTGATCTCTAGCATTATTTGTATCATCAAGGGCATATTTTCCAACTAGCAGTGATTCTTCTTTGTTTCCAACTCTTGCATTCCAGTCACTAGTGATAAACAACACATCTTGATTGCATGTTGGGTCAATTTCAGACTGCACAAGTTAGTAAAAATCAAAAGACAGCCTACCTCACTAAAAATCAGGAAAACACAAATTTTCGATGAAAATACAAATTTACAAATGAGGAATATTTCCATCAAAATATTCCTCATTCCTAAGTTTTGTCTGATAATATCCTAATTTGATTAAGGGTGTAAGGAGCAGCATTCTCATGTACTTCAGTGGGAGAATATAGTAGAATCACTTTTTTAGATGACAATTGGGCAGCATTTATCAAGTTTGAAATGTACTTGTCCACATATTCAGTAACTTCACCTCAAGGAGTCTGTCATAGATTATTCCCATGGAAATATCTGTTCTTGAACCCCCCAAAAAAGAAAGAAGAATGTTTATTGTAACATGTTTATAAATATAAAAAGTTGGAAATTATCTAAATAAATGCCCATCGATAAGGAAGTGGTTAAATAAATGATGGGACATCAATATTCTGGAGTACAGTGTAGTTGGTAAAAAGAATGTACTATGTGTACTATCTAATTATACTGATTATGGAAAGATTACAACATACTGAGTGAAGAAAGTCACAAAATGACATTACACTACATGTGTAAAAATGTATGTATATTTTTAGGCAAAAAATGTGTACTGTATTTTTATATAATTCACAGAAAATTATCTAAAAGGATAAATAACAAACTGGTAAGAAAAACAGAAGTGGTTAAGGGAAATTTTCCATTTTTAGTCTATATAGTCGACACTGTTTATTCTCTAAAAATTGTCTTTATTATAAGTAAAAAATATATAGACAGAAAGGAAGGGGACCAGACCTGTTCTGGACTCATGTATCGCCATGTTCCCTTGTCAACTGTTCGTTTTTCATCGTTTTTCAAGGATGTTACAAGTCCAAAGTCTCCAATCTTTATTTGTTTTATATTTACTAAAAATATATTGCTTGGCTAAGGAAAAAAAACATATATTTATTTATACACACTAATTTGACATCCTTTTGCCATATATCTAAGTCATATTTAGCAAATTCATTTTTCTATTAATTTATAAATAAATTATTTATAACATCTTGCTGTTTAACCTTACATAGGCATTTAGCTTTACACAGGTGTTTAGTCTTACATAGGTAGCACAAACCAGGGAATTTAAAAACACAGCTCTTTAAAATGTCAGCTGAAGGAAGTAAGACACTTTTTAGCTGACAGCAGTAAGGTTAGGGGGATAAACCAAATCAAACCTACTGCCAAAGAGTCGATTCCAACTCATGGTGACTCTTTGGACAGAGTAGAACTGTCCCCTAGAGTTTTCAGGGCTGTAAACCTTAAGAGAAGCTGACTGCCTCACCTTTCTGCCATGGATGGCTGGTGGATATGAACTATAAAACTTTGGGTCAGCATCCAAATGAGGTAATCACTGGACCACCAGAGCTCCCTGGAGCAAAAATCTGAAGAGCTGTCTAGGGGAAGGTGGATTGATTCTGTCTGATGCCAGGGATCAATCTGCGACTACCGCGTAGAAATAACTAAAGGATTTGCTTTCATACACCCTAATACTAATAAAACAAACAAACAAACAAACAAAAAAACTCACTGCTGTTAAGTCGGATCTGACTCATAGCAACCCCTCCTTGGGTTTCCGAGGCAGTATCACTGCAGAAGTCGATTGCCCAATCATCCTTCCGAGGAGTGGCTGGTAGGTTTGAACCACCAACCTTCTGGTTAGCAGTCAAATGCCTTAGGCACTATGCCACCAGAGCTCCCAATACACTAATGTATTAGGGTATAATACCTAATTAGTATACCCTAATATACTAATGCAGAAGGAAGGTTGGGCAATCTACTTCTGTAGTGATACTGCCTCAGAAACCCAAGGAAGGATCACTATGAGTCAGATCTGACTGGACAGCAGTGAGTGAGTTAATACACTAATGGAGGCAATGGTATTTTTGTGGTAGAATTTTCATTTTTTAGGCAGGAAACCTGGGTTCCTGGCCAGTGGACCTCATGTGTAGCTACCATCTGCATGTCAGTGCAGGCTTACATGCTGCTTTGATGCTGAAAATAGTGTCTGGGTGGCACAAATGTTAAGTTCTCAACTACTAGTTGAAAGTTGATGGTTTGAACCCACCCAGACGTGCCTCAGAAGACAGACCTGGCAATCTGCTTCTGAAATGTCACAGTCTTGAAAACCCTATGGAGCAGTTCTACTCTGCACACATGGGGTGGCTGTAAGTACGAATCAACTCAACAGTAACTAACAACAATGATGATGAACAGGTTCCAGCAGAGCTTCCTGACTAAAATGGACTAGGAAGAAAAGCCTGGCAATCTACTTGTGAAAATCAGCCAATGAAAACTCTATGGATCAAAACAGTACCATCCACAAACAGTCATGGGCTTTGTACAGGACCAGGCAGCATTTTGTTCCATTGTTCATGGGGTCACCATGAAACAAGGGCCAACGCCACAGCAACTAACAACAACATTTTACTAATAGTGTGGTTCAAAACACAGGAGTTAAAGAATTACCCATCTCAGAAAGTATACAAGGTGAGGCTGGGTAACTACTTGGTGGGAATGTTGCAAATATGAGTTCAGGATCTCACAAGGGTTGAAGTAGATAACCTTAAGATCCCTTATAGTTATGAGACTCTCTGAACGAGTCTATTCTCAGCAATGGCATAGAATATCCTATGTAGGCCTTCTCCTGGGAGCTTTCTTTTATATCAATTTCTCCATGCTTCTGACAACTCCTTCACCTTGGCTGGAAACCAAGTTTTCTGGAAGTTGATCACTGGCACCAAAGTATTATTTCCCATGATCCCATGAATTGTTTAAGAAAATTTGGAAAAAAAAAAAAAAGGAAGGATAGATGATGAGAGAAAGCAGTGACTATAGCAATGAGAGCTAGAAAAGTAGAATGTGAAAGAAGGATCCAGTAACAGAGCCTGACCTTTGAGCAACTGCAGGCATACAGCAAAAATTCTTTGAAACAGACATAAGAAAAGATCACTCCATACCATAGGAAACAGAAAACGGGGATACAGAAGAGAGTTGGCAGATGAGGTGGTAGAGGAAAGGACAATTCAGTGAGCACCAGGACCATAACACTTCTCCAACCACAGTCAGCAGCAGGTTTCACTACTTCATTCTGAGGAGAACCTGGAACTTAATATCCAAACTTCCATATTTTACTTGAAGATTGTTGTTGTTGTTGCTATGTGCCATCGAGTCGGCCCCGACTCATAGAGACCCCTCCTTGGCCTTCCAAGGCAGTAGCACTATGGAAGTAGATTGCCCCATCTTCCTTCCGAGGAGTGGCTGGTGGGTTTGAACCGCCAGCCTTCTGGTTAGCAGTGAAGTACCTTAGGCACTACGCTACCAGAGCTCCCTACTTGAAGATTAATGTGTATCAATGAGTGTTTCTTATTAATTATATGTATGACTTACTCCAAAATGAAGGCTTGCCCATTCTAAATTTACCCTTCTGAATATAGTTTTCATAATGTTCTAACATTAAAGAACTCCTTCAGATATCGTTAAAGAGAAAATACTGAAACCAGGTGAACCACACACCAAAGTGCCAGACATCCAGCCCCTAAGCAAACAAACAAAGCAATATATTTTAAGGGCCAAAAGGTTGGAGGTTTGAGTCCAACCAGAAGTACATGGGAAGAAAGGCCTGGTGCTCTACTTCTAAAAACAATCAGCCACTGAAAATCCTATGACGCAGACTTCTGGTAAGATGGAGGAATAGGCAGACAAATGACACGGACCCTCTTCAACAAAGAAAAGAAAAACCAATTGGCAGAGATACAGAAGATAATCCTGGTGCCCTAAACTTTGAAAGGAACTATACAGAAGTGGATTAGGCACCAACTAGTGGAAAAATCTGAATGAAAACAGTGAGTACAGAGACAGTCAGAGCTGCGGACTGTCAGCTACTCTCATAGGACCAACAGTTTGAATATTTCCAAGTGGTGTTGGGACCTGAGAATTGACCTAAAGATCAACCCTGGTCACCAAGGGCTGCAGGGACAACTGCGCTGGTGGCCTATGACCAGGAAGGGAAACAGCAAAGAGGGAGACAACCTGAGCTGCTGACTTTCTGCTGTGCGAAGGGCATAGCCATTTTGATTGTTTACACGTGGCAGCCATTTTTGATATATAAAGTGACTGAGGGCGCAGCCATTTTGAATGTTTATACGTGGCAGCCATTTTGGATATTTAAAGTGACCAAGGGCAGAGCCATTTTGAATCTTTGTAAGTGGCAACCATTTTGGATTTTAAAGGGATAGCATTCTCATTTGGATTCCAGGGACCTAAGAATAGGCTCTGTTTGCCAAGGTCAGCAGGGACAAATGAGAGGCTGACAACAGGAAAGGAAACAGGTGGTAAGTATATAAGTGCTGTCAACTAGCCAATACAGGAACCCAGTACCCTGTTTGCACAGATAACATACAAACAAAACAAGGAAAATGAAAATTGTGGCCAAGTCACTCCAACATACAATCACCAATTAAATATAAACACAAAAACGTCACAATGCCTCAGAGAACACAGAGCATCACAGTCCACACAAAGAAGGAAGATGAAGCAGGAGAAACAAGGGACCAGGATAAAGACCCAAAACACATCCCTGAGGAAGAGGCAGCATTGGAACTCCCTGATAAGGAATTCAAAAGAATTATATTTAGGTATCTTCAACGAATTGAGAGACAGATCAAGGAAAACACAGAGAAAACCCTAGAACAATTTCAAAAGACAATACAAGAACAAAATGACAAAATAAATGAAAAATTAGAAATGATGTAAAGTCTATACAAAGAAATCCAGAAGATTAATACTAAATTTTCATAAATAGATAAGACATTGAATGGGCAAAGGAGCAGAATTGAATCACGGAAGGCAGAATTAGGGAGACTGAAGGCAATCATTTCTTTGGAAAGGGATCAATCAGAAAAAAGATCAAAACAAAATGAAGAAAGCCTAAGGTTCATGTGGGATATCATGAAAAGGAATAACCTACATGTAATTGGAATTCCAGAACAGGAAGTGACCAATAAAACCACAGAGAAAATTGTCAAAGATTTGTTGGAAGAGAATTTTCCTGGTATGATGAAAGATGAGAATATATCCATTCAGGAGGTCCAACGAGACCCAAACAGAAAATCACCCAGACATATCATCTTGAAACTTAGCAAAACCAAAGACAAAGAAAGAATCATGAGAGCAGCATGGGAAAAATGAAAAGTTACCTACAAGGGGCAACCAATAAGACTAAGCTCGGATTTCTTGACAGAAAACATGCAGGTGAGAAGACTATGGGACGGTATACATAAAACCCTGAAAGAGAAAATTTTCCAACCAAGAATTATGTACCCAGAAAAACTGTCC